CTGTGATGGGCAGTGGTTCTGTGGGCAAAGATGTATGGGAGTGGATTGCAGCTTAGCTATAGGCCTGCACTGTCAATGCCCCATGATCCCAAGGTCTCCATGGAGACTGGCTGGGAGCTACATAGGCAGGGTGGGTAGCTGTGTCCAGGGCTGGGATCTTGGAGCATTGATAGCACAGGGCTGGGGCCTGGAGTAGAGCGCGATCTGCTTCCCAAATGCCCCTGTCTGTGGAACCTGCACTCATCCCAGGGCCATGCGGGCAGCAGACCATGGCTCTGCCCCAGACCCTGGCCAACACTGTCACTGCCCACCAGATCCTGGGGCCTGCCTGACCTCATCCATCCAGCTGCCCTCTGCACTTGGGCTTGGCAGGACCAAGGCACCTACTGTGGGCCACACAAAATCCATTGGTGGGCTGGATTCGGCCTGTGGACTATATTGTGCCCACTGCTGGTTTAAAGCACAAAAGTTTTGTGATCAGTGTTGTGCCATTAGACATGACAGCTGACAAGGCAAAACTGAAGTTATGGAAGGAAAGATTATGTGTAATCAGGTGCTCTGAAATGGACCCAGAACCCCCATCAGAACCTTCCTGGAGAGGCTGATTCAGACTGGCCAACATGGTGATGCCTGAATCATTTGCACATGCAAGCTAGAAGATCAAAAACAAACAAGATTAAATGGGTTTATTCTAATGACACAAACATATGTGAGTGCGGTGAAGTGCAGACTATGGAGTACCGCTTATTTGGTTTCTGTTCCCTGTACTGTGCTCCTTGCCTAATGTGCTGCTCTGCTTTCTATCTTGTCTACTGCTGTATATATGTACACACAGAGAATATAGAACTATATGCGTGGGTGCAAATGTACACACTGCACCAAATATGTATATTTTGTGTTGGTACATATGCAGAATTCAGTCAGTGTAGTGAAAAAATTTCTTTACAAAACGTGGGGGATTTCCGTAAAAATAAACCTGTCCCACAGTCATGTTTCCTTTTTAATGTTTCTCATCATCACTAGTAATTTTGCTGCAGTAAACAGGGACAACTTCAAGAAATAAAATTTGTTAACTAATGTTTCTTTTTTTCCCCAGACTAACTCTTATAATTAATAAGGAAAAGACTCTGGTGCTTTCCATGGGTGGTGGTGCATCATTTGTTGTTGTTTTGCACCAAGTATGGAAGAAACATCCTTTACACCAAGGCTTCCTAGGATTATATGTGATAGATAGTCATAAACTGTCTGAACAAACTCATGGATTATTAGGTATGAATTATCATGGAGCCTTCCTTTTGTTTGGATTGTTTTGGGGGTTATATTTATTATCGTTATTATTTGCGAATATGTTTTCACATATATAATCATTCAGTCCTGTGTGAGTTTGTATGCACACAGTTCTGATTAACTGAGATTTCATAGATCAGTCATATTAAGACTGTGGGCAAATTTTTATGGTGTTGGGCTCATGCAAATTTTAATTATTTTCTTATCCCTTTTCCTATCAGTCAAACCTCCTATCACCTATTTACTGTCACTTATCTGTATAAATGTTTTTAAATGTGGATCTTCTATTTTCAGTTTGGTTATCATGTTGACCCTCCAGGCACCATTGAAATAACCAAAGCGTACTAATACTCAGTTAAAGTTTATCTTGGTCTGCTGGGATTCTTACTTCATGTTCACTAATATGTTTTTTCCTACTGAAAGCGAAGCTAGTGACAATCACTAGTAATTCTGGAGCTAAATCTACAACACTACTGTCATATTTTCTATTGTAATGTCTTGTATAGTGTGCATCATATGTTGAAAACATTACTGGTTTTTGCATGGTTACGTTGAAGGCAATGTTTGCATTTACATTAGGTCAGTGATCTTGTTAATGGTAGAAGATAATGAATTTTACAACTTACACTCTTACTTAAGGGGTTGGGAGTGCAGGTGGTGTTCTCTTCGATACTCCCAGTCTCGGGCTATGGGCCGAGGAGGGAGAGGAGGATCCAGGCAGTGAGACCAAAGACTGCGGCGCTGGTATCATCAGGAAGGCTTTGGCTTCCGTGACCACAGCCTGCTCTTTGGTGAGAAAGGCAGTGAGCTGTTGGGAAGGGACAGCCTCCACCTCTCTCTGCTGGGGAGGAGGCTCTTCTCAGCCAGACTGGCTGACCTGCTCCATCAGGCTTTAAGCTAAGCCCGCAGGGGGATGGGGGGGCTACTGCCACTGCTGGCCCACTGAGTAACCCTTGCAAAGCCAGCAGGCTAAGGCACTCAAGGGATCCCACCCCTGCCCCAGCCCTGGAATGAACTGTAGGCAAGGCAAGGGCCCCCAGAGGGACACTTGCATGTCTGTATACAAATGCCAGGAGCTTGAGGAATAAACAGGACGAACTTGTCCTCCTGCTAAACTCAAATAATTATGATGTCACAGGGATAACGGAAACCTGGTGGGACTCCACCCATGACTGGGCCATGGGTATAGACGGCTATACCCTGTACAGAAGAGAGAGAGTGGACAAAAGGGGTGAGGATGTAACTCTCTATGTTAAGGAAAGCTACGCATCCCTGCAAGTCAACATTGGCACCCAGGGTGGATGACTTGAAAATCCGTGGGGAACACGGCGCAGGGGACACTATGGTGGGAGTCTACTACAGACCCCTTACCCAGGATCAAGACCTTGACCAGGAGTTTGCCAGGGAGTGGGCTGAGGCCGCACACTCCAGGTGCATGGCTGTCATGGGAGACTTCAACTACCCAGACATCTCATGGGAAGAGCGCTTGGCCAAATCAGAGCAGTCGCAAAGCCTTCTCTCGTGCATGGATGAGCTCTGTCTGATGCAGGAATTCTACAGACCAATGAGAGGTAAAGTGCTGGTCTACTTGGTACTGGCAACCGGGGACGACATAATCAGTGACCTAATGATCTAAGGGGAGCTGTGTTACAGTGACCACGATCTGATCACCTTCACCATCCACCGTAAAGCTGGCAAGTCAGTCAGTAATACAGAAGTCCTTGACTTCAGGAAAGCTGACTTCAGTAAGCTAAGGAGGCTTCAGTGAGGCCCTAAAGGGGCACAGCCTAAAGGGGAGGGGAGTGCAAGACAAGTGGTTGCTCCTCAGGGATGTGAAGCATGTGAATATGTGAAGCAGTGTCTCATGTTCTGCTAAGCCGCAGGGAGAGGCTATTGTCAATGCTGAGGATCCCAGGCAGGCTTGTTTGTATAACAAGAGGCATACAACCATCGTTCATTGTGGAGCAGGGTGGATTTGGTTTCAAGCTCATGCTGCTGATTGGTGGAAGCCCACCCCACCCTCTTGTTTTGCTGTCTAATGTGTCTGTGTTTTTTAAAGGACATACTTGGTAGCTGTGTTGGTTTGAGACAAAGAGAAATGCAAAACTCTAAAACTCTTGGTTCATTTTGGTTCATCTCTGAACCAAGAGTTTTAGAGTTTTGCATTTCTTTTTGTGTATTTAAAGGACACTCCAGGGGCTGTACTCTTATAATGTTTGGGTACAAGGCAGCTGCCAAAGCCCTGAGTTATACTAAGCCAGAAATGGCTTCCTGCTCTAGTCCACTGCAGCTTGCTTAAAATGAGGCATTTGGTGTGTGTGCTGCACTTACCCAGCTCCTGTTTAGAGCTGACTTCATCTGCGTCACTCCTGATTCAAGCTGGTATAATTGGTAAGCAGAATATATCTCATTACATATAGACCAACAAGGGATATAAACAACTATTCATATAATAACCCATATATAGGAAGTACCTTAGGGCATTTATACATGTTTGTGCCACAGCGCCAGATGCTTTTAGAAGTGCCCAGTGCTGCGGCACATGCAGTTGCATAATTGGCGAAATGTGTGTCAGAGCTGAAACTATGGTACTGGCACACTTTTCAACTAAAACCTATTGAAGGTGTTTTAGTTCAAAAGCTTACTGCTGCCATTTTCTGCATGCTGACATGCATTTCACTGCTAATACAACTCCATGTGAGACAGTGCAGTGCAGTGCCCATCAGATCACGTGTAGAGCAGATTTGATTAATCGAGTCTGCTCCGATGCCCTGGATGTCCACGTCGGTGCACAAAAATGTATGTGTATGAATGTCCTTACATTGCTCAGTCCTCTGAAATGCAGCTGTCCTTGCAAAGCAGCTGTCTCTGGGGTGGGACACTGCAGCTATTATTTCCCAGCAAGGCTACTCTAGTTCTTCAGAAAAGAAGCAAGGTGCTCTGTTGCTGAGACTGAACCATTCCCTTAAGCTTAACTAGGTGCTAATGAGCAGTAGCTGGCCAATCTACCAGGACTGCCTTATTCAATCAACCTCATAAGCTGAAAGTTCTGGCTCCAAAGAACCATTTATGGGGGATGCTGGGAGTATGGGGGGCTGGCAGGGGTGTGGAGTGGAGTGGAGCCCCTGCTCTGTACCCCAGCTTGGGACCTACTTCCAGGCCCCTGCCAGTCCCCAAGAGAACTTTCAGTTTATAGGGTTGATTGAATGAGGCAGTCCTGGTATATTGGCCAACTTCTGCTCATTAGAAGGGATCTTGGTTTTCCCTGATAAAAAAATCACAAATTCTGTGATAACCTCCCCCAAATCCCAGATTAAAATGAAAAGCCCGCCCCCGCAGCCTCCCTAGCCCAACTGGTGCCCCTCACTCTCCCCCCCCCACAGCTCCCTGCTTCTTCTGGTACTCTTCATCCCCTTCCCACAGCCTCACAGCCCTGCTGGTGCACCTCGCTTTCTTCCCACAGGTCCCTGGCCCTGCTGGGTACCCCTCACTCCCCCCACAAGCCTGCAGCTCTGCTCCTGTCCTTCATACCTCCCCACAACTCCCCCACCCCTACTGGTGCACCTTGCCCCCCACCCACAGCTCCTGCTCCCCCAGCCCTGCCTCGGGTTACCATACATCTGGGTTTTCCCAGACATGTCCTCCAGTGGGTAATGTGATTGGCTGTCGGGGGGTCACATACTCCCTGTGCAGGCTTCAGCGAGGTAGAGAGAGAGTGAGAGAGAGAGTGTATGTGTGTGAGAGAGAGAGAGAGTGAGTGAGCATGCGTGCAATGTGAGAGCTGCTTAGGCAGCAGGGCTGGGGGGGCAGAGGCTGTGGGTCCAGAGTGCGGGGCACTGGCAGGGCTGGGGGGCAGAGCAGGGGCTGCAGGTCCAAGGTGAGGAACACCAGCAGGGCTGGGGGGCAGGGCAGGGCAGGAGGCTGTAGGTTGGAAGTGAGGGGCACCAGCAGGGCTGGGAGGGGGATAGGGGGCTGTGGATCAGGAGTGAGGGGCAGGGGGGAGGGAACGGGTGACTGGGTTGGGTGTGCAGGGCACTGGCAGCACCAGGGAGCTGCAGGTCATGAGTGAGGGGCACCAGCAAGCAGTGGGGGGCAGGGTACTGCTGTTTGGGAGCGAGGGCCACTGGCAGGGCTAGGCTCAGTGGGTCCAGAGTCAGGGGCAGCAGCAGGGATTGGGGGTGTGGCTTGTCAGTGAGGGGCAACAGAATGGGCAGAGGCAGGGCACCAGCATGTCACTGCCTCCCCATCATATTCCATCTGTCCCCTCCCCCTGCACCCCCCTGCTCCCCCATGACAGATGTCCTCTTTTTTGGACCTGGAAATATTGTAACCCTACCCCTGCCAAGGGGGCTCCCAACTGCGAGGGAATACTGGGCCAGGGATCTGGGCCCTTAACCCTTTTCCCCTGGCAGGAGGCAGTGGCTGCTAAAGCAAAGTGGAGCTTCCCACATCTGTGCATGGGGCAGGGGGCTGCGTGCTGCAGGCTCCCACCCTGCTGCTCCACAACCCGGTGTGCACGACCCGGCACTGCAAAGAATAGCAGAG